GTCGTACCTGCCCCTCCCCGTAATGACCGTAATGCTCCGGCCCAGCCCCGCACCCGTAGACCCCATTTCCCCTCCCGCAGCCTCCGTACCTTCTGGCAGGCGATTTATATCAGTCATTCTAGGACAGGAGGTAGGCCTGGGCCCCCTACCACTTCTGCAATAGCAGTCAGTGGAGGAGGCACCAGGCTGTACTCCCAGTCCTCTCATACATACACAACCACTCACCCATACAGTCCGCACATAGGTCAGTTAAAAACACAAAAATACAACAATAATAAGACTTAAAAAGTGGGTACAGACATCAAACAGTCACACCATCCACACCACATTCATAAAATTTGTGGAGCACTGCGCTAGTGCAATTTAAGGTAGACAGTGGTGCAGAAGGAGGAGGGAGAGCTGCTCCCTCCCTCTCCCTTCCTCTAAGTCCCGAAAAGAAACCCAAAGGCCAAAGTTCCAAAGTCCGTGTTGGGTGAGGTGGTTGCAAATGGAGGGGGGCAGGGTGTAAACGCCAGATTTTAACAAGCGGTAACTTCGCAGTCTCACCCCCTCCAGATCAAGGTGTAGTCCAAAACAAAAGCCAACAACGGTCCATAGGAGGTATGTAGGTGGTATGCAGGGGAATGTCTTGTCTTCCCCCTCTCCTATAGGCCTGAGAGGGTCCAAAGTCTGGGGGTGGCTGAAACAGATCGAGCAAGAGGGGTGTGTGTGTGTCGGTTGTTGAGACGCCAAATCCCCACCCGTATTTCTGTCATCCTCTATTGCTCCTTCCATAAACCGAATGCACCACGAATACACAGTCCATGGCATCCTGAAAGTTGTATTAGGTGGGCGCTGTCTGAGTTGGTGTTCCAGGGGCAGTGACGGGTGGCAATACGGTCGGAGGAGGTCGGATGTTGAAAGGCCAAAATCAGATGGTCACAGGCCAGGATAGTGGAGAGCCAATGCTAGGCAGGGAAACAGGAGGAGGCTCCGCAGCAGCGAGGGCAGGCAGGAGAAAAGATTTGCCAAAAGGGCACAGCCCAGACACACAGAGAAGTGAAGGGGAGAGGCTGCGACGACGAGGGGGCCGAGCGAAATGGAGGGGGGGGGGCGTCCAAGGACGGCCATAATTAAAAAGATTTATGAATGTGCAGAAATGGACAGAATGACGGGTTGGCTGAGGGACAAAGGAGAAACGGAACATTATCTTAGCTGGAACCTATGGTATATGTGGGCGACAAGGAGAACAGCAGGGACTTAAAACGGGGAAAGCTAAATAGCAGTTGTTAACAATGGGAACTAAAAGTGAACATGGGTATTGTAATAGATCCCTGAACTTTGTAACGAGAAGATGCTGCTTAGAGACTAAACAACGAGGAAGGGAAAAAAAAAAGTTGGGCTGTGAATGACTGTCACCGCGGGGGGGGGGGGGGGGGTGTTGTATGTTTAAAATTGTATTTGTATGTCTTATTCTTAAAAAAAATTGTATAACCAATAAAGATTATTTTAAAAAAACAAAAAAAACAATGGCTTTCCACTGCTCTTCGGCTACCAGGCATTCAAATTTCAAATCTATTGTCTCCCTATAATCTGAGATGTCTAATTTTGGAACTAGCTATTAGAGGCATATTTCATATTTTATTGATAGGAGAATATATATAGGGTTCACTTAATGTTAAGAGGTATTTTTACTGCTTCCTTGTGCTTCGGCCAAAATGAAATACTGCTTGGAATTGCGAGTCCTCAAACAACAATGTCAGGCCTGCAGCCATATTTCTCTTGGATCTTTGGCCTGCCACACTTTCTATTATTCTACTATGCATTTTCTATTGTGGGAAAATGGGAGGGGGGATTGTACTGAGTTAGATGCTATGTAGGCAAAACAAAATTCCTTCTAGAAAGCCAAGGCCATCCTTTGTCTATGCACCTCACTGG